GAAAATGGAGATGATAGCATAAGGTAAAATAAAAAATAAAAAATAAAGGGAATATAGAGACTTTGACGGCACCTCAAATTTCAGTGGTAACAGTCAAAATTTATGTCTTAAGATTTAGGGTTAATTTCATCGACAATAAGATATTGAACAAAGCAGAGATACAGGATAAGGAAATGAGAGACTCGCCATTGGGGTCGATGATGAGCTTCTTGCTGGAAGAAAGAAGACAAAGTTAAATTCATCGACAACGAGAAATTGAACAAATCGAGAGGAGAAGGAAATGAAATGAAAGACTGACCTTCATTGCTGCATCATCTTTGTAAACGTTGGCAACCATCGTGGCACACATTTTTTTTGTACTGATAAAGTTGTAGTGGTGGTTAAATAATTTTTATAAAATATTCAAAATTATAAAAATATTACATAAGTGTTTTAGAGTCAAAACTTGTCACAAAATTATATAATTTGACTAAAATAAAGATACAATGTGGCGATCCTAAAAAATGCCACGTGTCTATTTTTTTTTTTTAATTTATTTCAATAAAATATGCAAAAGAAAAATCAAGTAAAATAATGTGAAAATAAGGAAAGAATGGAGATCTTGCTTTCACAGGAATTATTTTTGTATCTAAGAACTTTCTGTCAATTTTAAGTAATTTGAATGGTAAATCAAGATTAATCTTTGGTAAAAAAAATATTTATAGCTTTCAATCAATAGTACTTCTAGTATTTTTATATTAAACATGTCAAATTATTTAATTCTAATATATTGCTAGAATTAATATAAAAATAATTTGAAATGTTTAATATAAAAATATTAAATAATTTAATTTTTTTATTAAATTTCTTATTATTTAATATTAATATATTCTAATGAAAATATGATACAAATAATTTTGCGTAAATTTAAACATCTTAAATTATTTTGCTAAAATATTGAGTGCCTTTTCAAATGAAAAATCCAAACCCTAGTTAACTTTTCAATTTCAGAATTCACTTTCATTTTTGCATTCACCCCCACAGACATGGGAACCATTTCACTTTTACTTTCACATTTCAACCATGTCATTCGCAAAGACTTTTGAAATCATGTTTCTTAGCTCGAAATCGGTCCCAGGTAAATCTCTTATTTCCTTAGTTGACTTAGTTATGTTTGTTATTCCTTTCTTGCACATGAATTCCCGTACAGTGCTGGATTCAGCTTGCTGAAAGTTGTTGGAGACGTATGTGCGTGTGTTTGGAATAACTGAATAGAGGGTTGTGGAATTTTATTTTATTTTGAAGAGAGAGAGGGTAAATAGAACCAGGTAAGAGAGATGTTTTGAAGAGAGGGTAAATAGAGAAAAGTGGGGGCAAAGAGAGATAAAGATGAGTAAAGTTAGGGGTCTCTGTCCTTATAAGTCATCTTTGTCTTGCCACACGTGAAATGAATAAAAAATGAGACAATGGGACAAGGCCCAGAGTTGGACATTGAGTGTCTCAAATGTGTAGATTTTGAGAGTGAATGAATAGGAAAAGGAACTACAAGAAGCCTACCCTTCTTTCTTAGTTATTATACTGAACAGAGTCAATGCATTTTACTCTGTGTCAAATAGGAAGCTATTTCAGGTAACAAAGTTATTTTTTGAGTCATCACTTTCCAAAGGACGAAATCCCCTTTATCAAATAGGCCTGCAAATCGAGTCCCAACTCAGTATATCCCTTTTCTAGGCCTGCAATATAGTCTATTCTCTGTATCCAACTGACATGAAGTCTAAATAAATTAATATAGGTGTTGAGATTTTTGTATTTTATTGGTGTTAAGCTCATCATGTGTCTTGAACTAAAGTCTATTCTTTGTATTCAACTTCCATGAAGTCTGAATAAAATGATATAACTCATCTAATTTTGGAACCTATTTATACATCATTTAAATTTTGACTAATATATTAATTAATTTATTCAATTTCATCTTTTGAGAACATCAATGCGCGAAATTATTTGTAATGTTTAGTTAATTGTTCATAAGTCTTTTAAAATTCTAAGCTCATCTTATTAAATTTTGAAGACTCCCAAATATATAAAATGTAATTCTGTTGTAGTTTTTGTCAAAGTTTGTTAAGGATTCAGCAATTATTGTTTTTGGTTGACCAACTAAGAGAGCAATCACACTTTATATACATTCTGTACCTGATTGCATTTTACATTTCTTGCAGTATTTGTGTCTGACTGATAGTGTCATTGGTTGCACCCTCAACTCAGTGTTATTTGAACTTTTTTATCCAGGTATGTGTTGCTTAATTCCTATGTTGATCTTTATATTTATTATGTTGATCTTAATGTTTGATGTCTAACTCTAAATATATATGAATAATTTATAAATAAAATTAAGCCAAAGTATTATTTTTTTTACTTATACTAATTTTAATTTTGAACTTTTAATATTGCTGGAAAAAACATTCCTGTTATGTTTTTATTAAAAAATAATACTACAAATACTTACAAATTTATTTTTTCGATAATTTATCTAACTTGTCAATATACTATATAGGTTGGATTTTTCATATGGGCTTGAACTTTTAACTAGCTGTTTGGAAAAAACATACCTGTTATGTTTATATTAAAAAATAATACTACAAATACTTACAAAATTATTTATTTATTCCATAATTTATCTAACCTGTCCATATACTATATAGGTTGGAATTATCATACGTAGTTGCACTTTTAACTACATGTTTGGAAAAAACATACCTGTTATGTTTTTATTAATTAACTGTATTTGTAGGCTTTACACAGGTTTTTATACCCTTCATGGGTACCCTTGGGTTGTTAGGCCAGTTTATAGAATGCCTTGCAAATTCCAGCCTTTTACGATACTTCAGGTATTATTTATCATCTCTTTCTCTTGTGCTAATTTTTCCATTTTTTGTCTATGTTTGACTATATTGTTTGCATCTTTGCTTAAGGACAAAAAAGATCTGGAAATAAATTCATCATGGAAGAAAAAAGCACACTAGTGGAGTGACACGTCTTCATATGACATATTAGTTAGTGTGTTTTTTACATTTTCCATTGTAGGATCGGATTCTCATTTATTATGCAAACTATTTTTTCTTATATAACCGTTCAGTTATCTTTTTAGATATTACAAGTTGCAATATAATTCTTTTTCCTCAATCAAATCCCAAGTTGCAGTGCCAAATGTAAATGATATTACAAGGTTATCTTCTAGTAACAATTTATGATTTCCTGTAGATTGGGGAAGTTGTTGATGGACGGGAGGAATCAAATCGCTTTTCCTAAATGATGTTCAAAATGATTATGGTCAGTTTTCTGTGTTTTCCTTGATCATTTGATTTGGTTTACTTTCTTCACACGCATTTCTTAGAATTTTTACCTCTGCTGTTCTGTTTGATGTGGATATTGGATTGGTCTTGAAGTAGAGTGAAGTGTGAAATTATTTTACCTATAATTGTTTTTTCTATTGCAGATCCATCATGACAAACAAACAGTGCATATTTCGGTGGATAGCGCAAGTGTTAAGACATCACCCTTTAGTTAGCATTTTTCTTCTGTTTCATGTATTTTCTGTAGACTTCATTTGAACTTAAGTTATCTTGTTAATACATTATTAATTTTACACTTTGAATATTATTATAATAATTTTTAGAGAATATTTAATTGTTAGAAGCATTTTTCATATTTAGGTAAACTTTCTTTTAATTAAAATTTAGAATTTTTTTTTCATTTAGATTGTATGTAATTGTAGTATTTTTTTAAATGATTTTTAAAAAATAAAACAAGTTGTTTATGTTGCTTATTCCGTTGATTGAGAAAATCGACTCCAAATCACGTAGGCAGTTTTCAAAATGACGTCAATATTTACGTTAGCATTCTGAATTTAATGTTTGTTGAATTAAAATCCATATGAATTTAATGTTTTTAAAAAAATTAAAAATATTATTTTCGACGGAATTCTATGTACATTTTGTTGTAAATGATTAAGAATTTTCAACGGAATTAAATTCCGTTGAAATTTTCGACGGAGTTATACATAAATTTTGTTGCAAACTGTTACAGAACTTTTTGTCCGCGTCATATTTCTTTGGGTGGAATTTTTTCCCATTGAAATTTTCAACGGAATTATAGTTAAATCCGTTGGAAATTGAAACGAAACTTTTCGACAGAATAATTTTTCGTTGAAATTATAGACGGAATTGTAGATAAATTCCGTTGAATTTTACAACAGAATTTGTTCACGGAGATTTTTTCTGTTGCAATTATCGACGAAATTTTTCAACGAGAATTAATTTCGTCAAAATTTTCAATGGAATTTTTTTTAATTTATGTTGCAAATTGAGACAGAATTTTCTAACGGATATATTTTTCGTTGAAACTTTCGACGGAATTTATTATTTTAATATTATTTCATGACTTTATTTATTGACGGAAAAGTAAGGCTTGCAACGGATTACATTCCGTTGAAATTTTCAACGGAAAAATATTCCGTTGTAAATATTAACAGAAAAAAAATTTCGTTGCCTTTCGACGAAGGGTTATCCAACAGCAGCATTCCGTCAAAAATTCCGTTGAAAAATGGTTTTGCAAAGGAATTTTTATAATTACCAACGAAAAATTTCCGTTGAAAATATTGAAATTTCTAGTAGTGTTAACATCTAATTGATGAATGAACCATCCCTTCGAAGTTGCAATAGCTAGCAAGATGGTATGGAAGAAAGCTTTCCCACGGGACTACAGGTATCAAAGAATTTTACACCTTCAATTTGAGTAAATCTTTTTGCCACGAGACGAGCTTTGTATTGCTCAATGGACCCATCTGAGTTATGCTTGATCTTGAACACCCATTTGCATCCAATGGGCCGTTTACCAATGGAAAAGATCAACAAGGCTCCAAGTTTGATTTAGCTCCAAAGCTCAAAGCTCAGAGTGCATTGCTTTGCTCCAATTTTTCGACTTAATAGCTTGGGAGAGTATATGCTTGGTTCCATATTAGATGAAACATAAAGACAAAAATGGGTGTATGTGGGTGAACATTTATCATAGGTTAAGACACTAGATAAGGGATACTTAGAAGAAGTGGAAGCTAAAGGAAGTATACCTTGGCAGAGTTTGATATGATGAGCCACAGTGATACTGGTCTAAGTACTTTAGAGTTGCTCTAACCCGAGTTGAACGATGAGGAAATGGTAATATTGGTGAATTATCGACGACAAGAGCTTGTGGTTTTGATGATGCTTGTGATAAGGTTGTTGTAGGAGTTGTGAAACTTGTTGAGGTGATGAAGACATATTTGGTGAAGAGTGTGATGGAAGATAGTTATCAAAGTCAAACATATATGTCTCTAAAGGCATATTCAGTGGTTTGATGGTTGATTGTGTTGTAGGTTCAGTGAAAGGTTGGTTGTGAAATGGGAAAATATTTTCATAAAAGATGGTGTTTCTAGACTATATTGATGCTTGCTTTCCACCCTTTCATTCTGTTGGGGACACTTAACACAACTCCTCTAATGTATGATTCCTTTCTGAAGATAAAAGTCTTGAATAAAAAACTCCACCCCATTATCACTTCGAATTGTTCTAACAATAGTTCGAAAGTGATTCTCCACATATGCAACAAAATGCCTTAGATGATTTCAAGTTTCTGCTTTGGTTTTCATCAAAATTATCCATGTATATCGTGAAAAATCATTAACAATGGTAAGAAAGTATTTATGGCCTTCAACAGATGCGATAGAATAAGGTCCCCATATGTCTATATGAATGATATGAAAAATTCTAAGAGACTTTGTTTGGCTAAGAGAAAAAGGAAGTTGTCTTTGTTTCGTTAAGTGGCAGATTTCACATAGGCTTACGTGTACACATGGGAGAAAGGGAAATCTACATGACATATTCTTCATTACACCTTCAGAAATATGTCCTAGTCTTTGGTGCCATGTGACAGAACAACCATTATTATTTGTATTACAAGTATGTGTAACACTACGTTGCTCCTTCAAACTTGTAGTATCTACTTTAGTCTTCCTAGCAATCACATATAACCCATCCGTTTGCTCAGTTATACCAATCTTTACCTAAGAATGTAATTCCTGGATAACATAGAATGAACCACGAAAAGTTAATGCACTACAGGGAATGGCATTTAGGAGTTTGGTAACAAAAATCATGTTGACTTTAAAGTTCGGTACATAAAGAACATTGAATAAAATAAGCTTTGGGAAATATAAACTGTTCCAGAGCATAGTGCAGTGACAGAAGCACCATTAGGCAAATTAATGACAACATGTTTAATTTTCTGTATGTCTGAAAGTTGAGATTGAAGATAAGTAACATGGTTCGTAGCACATGTATCGAGTATTCATCTTGCATATGAGATACCCGATTGCTGAATAAAACCAATTTTGACATTTAAACTAGTGTTATGTTTTCTGCATGTGGCGTTGAAATTATGGCTCTTTTCTCTGAGAGACTCACGAGGTGTTGATATTGGTCATTGGAGAGTGACACTCAAGTATTATTACCAACCTTCTCAAAGTGCTCATCTGATATTTCTTGTATGACATTGTTCACATTGTGTGTCAAGTTTCTCCTAGGATTGTATCCTTGTGAAAAGCCGTGAACATGAAAACAACTATCTACGGTGTGATTAGATCTTCCACAGTGCGTGCATATTTTATTGTTTTGACCACGTCCTCTATAGTTATTGATTGGAGCTCTGCCTCTTCCTCTAAAGTCGCGACCACCATAGCTATTTTTTTGACCATGTCCACCATATTTATTGGATGAACCTTGAAATGAACTCTACTCATTAACGACAATAAAGGCTTAAGCATTGGTTGTATTGGTGGAATGAACCTCTCCCTGAAATTGTCGTTCTTGTTGCACCTTCATGGAAAATGTTTGAGTAGCATCTGGTAGGGGACTAATGAGAATAATCTGAGATCTAACTTGAGAGAATTGGTATTCATACTTTTCAAGAAACGAATTACCTGATCTCTTTCTTGGTATTCTTTCTTCTTGTTATAGCCTCCACATGAGCAATGTAAGAACCCGCACTATTAAATTAGAAATTTAAATAATTTAATTATGAGTTTAGGAAATAATTTCATAATTAACTTTGGATAAATATAGAAAGATTAGAATAATTATCGAGAAGGTCAAATAACGCTTAAATCGCTTGTCTGATGAAAAGTGCGTACCGGTGAAGTATTCCAAAAAATTATAATAAAAATACAAATATTCCTAGAAAAATATATAGGTCAAGGATGTCAAGTTTGGGGTAAGAATAATGAGCAGAGATGTCTGAACTAATACCGGCTATGTATAAAACGCGTATCGGTGAAGTGTCTCAAAAAATTAATGTAAAAATATGATAATTTCTAGAAAAATTTCTAGGTTAAGGATCTAAAATTTTAGGGTTAAAATAAAAGCGAAACTAATTAAACTAATATTGTTAGTTTAAGTGTGTGCACCTATATATAGTTAATGACACAAAATCCTAGAGTTTCTAACACATGTTAGTTGCCTCCCTTCAGTGTGCATGAATGATGGGTGTCTCTCCTTAGTGTCTCTATGAATGCTTGCCATTTTCTCATTAAACCTCATCATGCTTTCATCTTTTTCCATTCCCACACCTTGGAAACATCCCCAACCCTTTGAAGTTTAAGTTTTGTTGAAGAAAACATTGCCTTGGGGGGTTTGCTTCTGTTTTGGCATTGGGTAGAGAACCACCATCTTTCTTCCTGGTTGAGAGCTATTTTCCACACTTGGGAGTTTCAAGGAACCAAACTTGAAGAGAAAGAACTAATCTTTCTTTGTGATTTTCGTGCACCATTTGAACAGTGGATTGGAGCATCTTCAAAATCCTCAAAGTTCCCTCATTTTTTTTTTCACAAGCCCTAAGGTAATCTATCACCATTTTCTTTGTAAATTCATGAACAAAGCTTGTTTCGAGTCTTTAAAGAAGGGAAACGTTGATGATTCAAGTAAAAGATTGTTAATTTAAGTGTAATATGGTAATTTAAACTTCTTTTTGTAGGTAAATCGAAGGTGGGAACCTAGGGAGGCCATTGGAGCTCTAATTATGCAGAAAAATCTGCATTTTCGCATTCTGCACAGGTGGTAATCAATTACCTTAGAGTGGTAATCGATTACCCACCATAAAGGGTAATCGATTAACCCCTGTATGATAATCGATTACCTAGTGCATTTGTGACAAAAGCGATCTAATTTAGTAAAATTGCGATATCTCGAGCTACAGAGCTCTAAATTGAGTGAGGTTTGGACTTATGTGAAGCTAACACATAGAAATACAATTCTGTAAAATTTCTTATTCATTGGATAAGTGGATTGATCGCAGTGTTAGTTTGAAGTCGTAACTTGGTTGCTGAAAATTCAGTTTGCAGCAATCACTTTGCGAAAAACATAACCAGAGTTATACAACTCCGATTAAGACATAAAGTTTGTCATTGGAAAGATTAGGATGTCTGATTTAACATAGTAAAATCTTAGATTTTTGGTAAAGATATGAAATTGCAGTCTTGAAAATGGTAAAGACAGTTTAGTGTTTGTGGCTTA